GGGGGGAGGAGGTGGAAGAGGGTGGATGGGGGGAAGGTGCTTTTGGTTTCTTTCCTTTGTTTCTCACTCCTCTAGCTTGTTAGGAATGAGCAAGAAATCTTACTATCTCCCTATGCCAAGTCTATTTTGCCCATTACTACATGTCACAGGGTATGTGGAAAAAATGTGTGCAAATATTTTAGTTATGCACCTATTTCATTTCTTCTGGCTTCTTTGGCTTCATGGTTGGTAAGCTACGTAGCAGGAGCTCATTACATGCCATAAAATACACAGAAAATCTGAAAACCTTAATAATCATTTACATGTAAATAATAATTAATATTACATGTAATAATTAAAATTACATGTATATTACTTACAGTACTGTCTGTGTTTCAGGCACCAAAACAATTTTAATGAAATCAATTACACATAAAATGTCTATTTCAAGCCATCTCAATCCAAAATTTTACTGCATCCACAATTCTCTGTTTTAGTTCTGGAGCTCTAGCAAAGAAAAAGGAGTTTTCTCCTCTGTTTTTGAGCAGTATCTTAAAGATGTTAGGAATATCATAAGAGTGAATCCATGCAGTTTACTTGAATAAATACTTGTGTTCACTTTGTTGTTGAGGTTTCTGGCCAAATGAGCCTCATCCTCAGTAATATATTGGGTATATAGGCATAACTATCATCTCTTCAAAGAAGGAAGTACTCCTGCATAGAATATGTAATAGTACCCAGAAAATGTGTAAGAACGGCCAGAGCAAAGGTAAACAAATGTTAACCAGGACTGCTACACTGTTTTGTAAGACAAATAATAAGATGAGCATGCAGCCGGTGATTATGCTTCCAACCATGCACAGCTGGATTATTGCCAGCTGTGTTTCATCTGTGTGCTTGTAAGCACGTACCTGTTTAAATCCTCTCTTGCTTGCTTTTAAGGTCTCCCATGGACCAGGCAAAGGCTGTTCCTCGGTCCTTTTCAACATTCAGAACACCATCCTCCATCCTGTGATGCATTTTGGTCTTTTTGGCATGCTGTTACTTCTGCAAAGGAGCTTTCTTCCAAACTCACCTTACTGTGTTTCTTGGCTGTCACAAGGGATGCTACTTCCATCCCTCAGCAGGGGAAAATAAGCTTATCACCCTCTTCCAGAAGCCAGCTAGCTATCATACTGCCACTGGCTGGGAGAGCAACGATTTTCCAAATGGCCTCAGCACACAATTGCTCCTCTAGGTTTGCAATGCCTATGGTGTGAACACCGGCGATTAAGACAATTCTAGGCAGGTAAGTGTGGGAGGGATTTCCACAGTAAATGCCTTTGTGCTCAGTCACAAAGAGTTTGTGACTGACAACAAAGCACCTGGTTGTTTAGACCTTAGTGAACGGGGAAAAGCAGGACAGCGGAGTCTTACTCATGTTGCATTTCACCTGGTGGAGGGCAGAGGGAGTAAAGTGGAGTCTGTTCAAAATAAGGCTCTTTGACTCAGTGTGGAGAACCTTGTACATTCAAGTGTTTGAGGTGAAAATTGCATAGTAAGAATCTTTCTGACCCAATCTTCTGTTTTTCTCTGTGAGCACGAGGTTTGCTGCTTTAACCTCTTAACCTGGGACCTCTCTTCCATAGAGATGCAGGAATGTCAGGTGAAAACCTCCAGAGGGGAGAACAAGTGCATTCTGCTGTGATAGTGGAAAAGCCTAGGCCAAGATCCCATTGAGATGAAGAGTGACTGGAGGCCAATGGAGTGGCAGCAAAGGCAAATGTCACCCTTCCCTTCTGCTTAAAGAGGTGCCATCCCAGAGTCATCAATGGCATTCCTGCAGCGTGCCTACATCACATCAGCATGCACTACCGTCTGCCTGGAGCTGGTCTTGACCAAAGACTGCTGGGTTTGGAAAGACAGCCTCTGTGTGCTTTTACCAGCCATTTCCAGCTATTATGCTCTTTAATGAGTGAAATAAGTAGAAAAGTAATCAGCACAAAATTGGTGTCCACAATTCATTTATCAGACTCTGTGGATTAATTAGTTCCAGTGGATGGCCCTCTTTTCAAAGGCACTAAAAGTTCACTGCTCCTGTGTGTGTTGGTGGAACTGTGTACATTTTTGGCCACCCTTACTGAGAAATCTGATATCTGTTACCAATGAATGAACTAATGAAGCCTTTCACTCTTAGGTCACGCAAACTTCTGAGCAATGTGAAGCTGAGGTACATAGGCAAAACAGGGTCATTTTCTGCATAACATCGGCAAAACAGGGTAATTTTCTGCATAACATCCGTAAGGAAAACATTTTTCATTTTTCCTTTTAACACTGAGCCTCCAGCTATCAGCATTGTGACTTATGAATTTTAATATAAATTCCATTCTTTTTCTTGCCTGCATGTTTCATGATTTTTCCTTGACTAATCTTAGCAGTGCCCCTCTAATCATGGTTAACATTGCACTTAATCAGGAAATGGGATTAGAAAGGGGTCTGAACATGTAGGCATTCATAGAAGACAAGAATGACTCTGAAAGACTGACCACAAGGCTGTGGCTGTGGGTGGCTGCATCCGTTTGTATCATTATTGAGAGACAAATATCCGGAGGCTTCAGTGGAAAAAAAATAGTCAGGAGGAGAGAGGAAGTTTAGGGTATTTAGAAGATCTGCTAAGTCCCTGAAAATTGAAAAGGAAGGATCCGATGAACACTTATTAAGAGGAGCAATGAGAATTGCTGGTGATTTTTGCTGGTATTCTGATCAATTTAGCTTATAATTTTTATTTTTAGATAGCTGTTTCATGGAATGGTTGAAGTTGGAAGGGATCTCAGGAGATCATCTAGTCCAGCTCCCCTCAACGTGCTCACCCAGAGCACATTTCACTATATATTTTTCTTTATGACGTATAAAGATGTTTTGGCTAACTCTGGCTTCAGAAATTTTGTTATGCCAGGTTTGCATTTTCTTGATTCTGCCTCTAGGTGCATTATCTTTTAGGAAAGAAAAAAGATTTAAGGCATATTACTAGCAATCACACTTTATACTGGGGTCCTGATGTCATGAATCTCAATTCCTATGAGGTACCAAGGTTAAAAGTTGTATGAATGGGCACAAATAACAAAAATGCCTGTGTTCAGCAGTTCAGTTAAAAACATTTTCCCCTATCCAGGAAATAACCAATGTGTTCCAACTGGCCACTGAACATCACCAAGGAGCACATATGGGTCATGATCCTTGGTCTTATGTTCTCTTTGAAGATATATACAAGGTATGTCTCGTTTTCATATATAAGAATTAAAAAAAGATTATACAAATCTAAAAATTTTAGAAGTAATGACTGAATGATCTAAATAAAATCCCTTTAATGTTGGAATTTACAATTGCAGCTTGCATCAAGTGAGTCTTTTCCCAGAATTCAAAGGGTATACTGACACCTAAGTGAAACACACAGGTTCAGACTGGGGAGTTGTCAGGTAATCTGAATTACTTAAATGTATTCTTTATTGGCTGGGTTAAAACAGCTCCACACAGTTGTGGAACCTGTGCAATTGCTGCTGCAGAAATGAATGGAAAAGGATAGATAATCCCTGGTGCAAATTTTTTCCGTGTGTAAATGGATGCTGCCCACCCTTAATGGCTAAGCAGGTGATTTACACCCTGGCAGGCTCCAGAGAAGTGACACCACTGGGGTGGTGATGAATGCCATGAATGAATGCCATGGGCTGAGCCATTGTAGCCCATATGAATGCAGAGCAAATGGGAAATTTACGCAAAGGTTTCAGCCAAAATCATACAAGAGTTTACTGGTATGTCCAGTTTCACTGGTCCTCTGTCATGTATGCAGTGCTTTTACTTTTTCAGATCTCATCATAATGAGGTAGCTATATGGGACAAGACTGTGAAAGATGCTTGTGGATCAATGAGCAAGACAAGGTTGCACCAGAGAGGGGTTGGCACAATGGGTAAGAAATGGCAGAATAAGAGAGAAAAAATGATTAGTAACCATGTTCAGAAAGCTTTTAAAATAGAAGCCAGGAAAACTTTATAGTGGGGTCAGAGCTAATGGAAGAGATGTGGATAAAATTATAAACCTAAAATATTACCTTGTCTTAGCATTAGGTCTTCTCTGAGAAGAGAAATCAGAGGCAGTGGATTAAATGAAAGCAGAATGAAGGAAGAAATGATTTGTGTATTCAGAGCAGAATAAGCTGAATATATCATCTATGATATGGGAGGGTTCAAAGGTATTCATAATGATTGAGAAGAATGTCAGGAACGAGGTCAAAAAGGAAACAAAACTTAATTTGTCTAGAACAGAGGCTAAATCAGAGGTGCCTATGCACAGAAACAACAGGATAACAGTTGGGTATTTGAACAGTTTTATTGCCAAAGGATAAGGCAGAAGTACCCAGAGAAAATGCAGGCTTTAAAGGACAAGTGCCAAAAACTATAGGAGAAAAGAGTAAGCCTATCATGCAAGATAGGGAGGGGCAGCCAAATGCACACAAAGGAAGGACTGAGTTATGAAAGCCAAAAAAAAAAAAAAAAAGACAAAGCATCCAACAGGTAATGATTGATAATCAAAGGAAAAAGTAATTTGGAAAGCTTTCCATCCTGTAGTACATAAACAGTAATTATTATGAGTAACAGGAAGAAAAATCCCAGGACTCTCATTAGATCCAAAATAGATTGTAAATCCAAAACATAGGAAGAGGAAGAAAGCATGTACAATATTGTTTCCTAAAGTAGTAAAAACTAGACCCATGAGATACATTGAGTGCAACAAGGCATTTGTTTGAATGAATTAAACTTGGACATTGCATATTACAGTTTCCATTCAGCCTGAGAACTAACTAGCTAGTGTTTACTTGACCTTCCACTCCCACTGTAATTGGTGGCTGGAAAAACAGTTGTGCCATTCACAGATATTCTGTGTATTTCTGTTGTGCTTGTACCTGCTGTGGGCTGTTTGCATGTGTCTGTGTCTATATGCAACTCCAAATTTCATTCACAGGCAGTTGGCAGAAGGCAGCTTACCACATCTCTTTAGCCCCAAATGCTGAAGCTCAAGGCAACACAAGTAGCAGTGAAGGGCTGCTGTGTGAACCCACAGTGGTGGGATGAGCACTCACTGCATGCGTTTCAGCAGAGAGAAATGGGCAGGTGTTTGATTAAGCACATTTCATCTGTGTGGTTAATCAGGTAAGTGGTTACTGTGGCTACAGTCAGAATAATGACTGTCATTTGCTCCAGCCCATTAGACAGCAACTTGATTCCTAGTGGTTGGTTGTAAACATGAAAACCTTGCCAGTTCGCCAAAGCTCAGCTTCCTGAAGATCAGGGGCAGGGTGAAGTGGGGGCCACGGGGAAGGGAGTGTCGGTGGCAGTCAGCCACGTGGCAGCATGCCCATCGCTGCACCTGCAGCAGGCGCCCAGGGCACAAGAAACTACACCTGGAGGTACTACTCCCACCTCATATCCTGCCCCTCTCCATGCTGGCAGGAGGCACTCCAGCTTCACGGAGAAGCTTGGTTAGGAGGGGATGAGGCAGCTTTTGATGCAGGGATATAAACACAGAGAGAGAGGGCGAAGAAATTAAGGCTAGTTGGAAGGCAGGTGCAGATAATGGTGAGCCAAGGATCAACCTTTGCTTGTTGTGGTTGGAAGGAGCATGGCATGGGAAGGGCTGGAGATTGAGATGGGTTTTCTGTAACAGTGACTCATTAGGAGTTTCATAAGCATTGTGATAGGAACTCAGTACCTAGTTGCTGAAAATAGGCTGGATAAAGCACTAGAGGGAGATGTCATAAGAAGCAGACAATTGGTCTGAACAGAAGGCAGATTGCAGTGTGTAAAGTTTTTCTGTGAAAATACATCTGCTTCTATGAAATATGAGATCATTTCTCACTGAGACCATTAACCTGCAGCAACATGTAAGCCTTGATTTTGTAAGAAACAGGAGTGGATAAGCTGAGTCACAGGCCAGACATACTATCTATGTCCTAAATGTATTTGTGTTGAATGCCATTCCTTGAAGGTACCAGACCTTGTCAGTCCCTGTCTGACCACAGAAGTAGTCACTAAAATGACGCAAAGTATTGTGCGGCATGGAATTTAATCTGATACAGATCAGCTGAGATCCTGGTGCTGTTGTACCAGTTTTGTGACAATCTAAGCAAATACCAGATGATTTTACCTGCATTTCTTAGAGGGCACACGGTGCCCTCTAAGAAATTTATTAAAACATCATTATCAGATGGAACATACAGACCCAGTAACCCAGAAAATAATAAAATAGACTTACACCTTGATAAACGTCAGCACAAATTCAAAAGAAAAGCAAATCTTTGTTAGTTTTGTTCTTGTTGTTTTTATTGTTTTGATTTGATTTTTTGTTGTTGTTTTTTATATGCCTGCACTCCTTCCCTTCCCTTCCCTTCCCTTCCCTTCCCTTCCCTTCCCTTCCCTTCCCTTCCCTTCCCTTCCCTTCCCTTCCCTTCCCTTCCCTTCCCTTCCCTTCCCTTCCCTTCCCTTCCCTTCCCTGTCATAATGCTTTTTGATACGTTTTTTCTGACTAGTCAAAATACCCAACATATTCCAAAGTCTTTGTAGAGCTAGATGTGTATTCTGATCACAGCAAGTCTTATTTATCTGTTTAAAAATTTCTCTTCTTTGGCTCTGGCAGATGTCTAATTGTGAAACTGAAATAATTTATAAATATTTATGGAATAAATAATTATACATTTAATTAATTACTTATAATAAATATTTAATTTAATTATTTATAATAAATAATTATACATTTAATTTAATTTATAACTAAAATTAATTTAATTTATAATTATTTATGGAATAATTATAATATAATTATAATTATATATAATAATTATAATAAAATAAATTTATGGAATAAATAATTATAAATATTTATGGAATATGTAGCTACAGGTCAACTGTTATTTTCAAAACACTGACTACTAATTAGGAGGCTCTTCAAGCACAGACGTAGTGTCAAAGGCTCAGTCAAACCTTAAAGTGACCCAAACCCAATGCTCTTGAAACTGTTTGGCAGTTTTATCAAAGAATGAACTTCAAAAGATGCTAGTAAGACAATTACATGAAGCATTGTGCTCTTGTGACATAGCAAAAATTGGTAATATTTAGCACATGTTTGTATGTGTAGAGAAACGTATGGTCTGATGACAGTGAATACTAGTTACCCATTTCAAAATTTCTGTTCGTCCTTGGCAAAGTTTGCCAAGTGATACGGAGTGGAGAGTCTTAAAAATTGGTCTCTAGGTATGTTGCTTATATCTATGTTAGTAGCTGAGGGAGCTGCCCATTGCAGGCAGAACTGAATATCACTGTATTTTTTTTTAAATTGCTTTAAGCATGTGACAATGTTAATGGGACTTATTCTCACAGATCGTTGTGGATACAGGAACCTTGAAGGAAGGAGGAGGAAGTACACTCTATAGACCCTGAAAAATACAAGAAAAAGTAATTCAGGAAAAAAAAAAAAAAAAAAAAAAGACAGGAAGAAAAAATGTAGTGGGTTTGCCTACTTAGCTATATTGTGGACTTAACATTATAATTTTCAGGTGGTGGAAGTGTTTGGGAGGTGCTGAAGATGACCTCCAGGGAGAAGAGTTGGCACTGAGCAGAAGTGCAACAAGCAGGGCTTACAGAGTAAATATTATTTCAATGGGGACACTTCTGTCTTTGTGTGGTTGGTATGGTTGGGTAATTGTGAAAAGAGGAACTTCTGTTGCCCCTCACCACCCACACACTTCCTCATCAGCTTCAAACTTGATAACGCAGTCTGTAAAACACCGCTGTCTTTTCTGCCCCTTGCTGATGACAGCAAGTACCGCACATCCAAGAGGACAGGCTTTGCTCCTGGTGTTGTTTTACCAAAACCCCTCTTCCCCACTGCTATGTGGCAATGACCTTCTTTGTGTTGGAGACCTGGTGCTTGTCCTATGTGAGGAAGGTAGATACGTAAATAAATCCTTACTGTTCATTGGAAAAATACTCTAGATGCTGGGCAGCTGAGGTCCCTCTGTGCACTCACAGGTGTGGGGAAAGGAAAGGGCTTCCTGATATGTGAGGGAGCAGGTGCTGGCAGGAGATATCATCTGAAAACCACTTTGAGGAGAAAGGACTTCTACTACCACCATCCATACCTTTGGTAGGCATGTGCCCTGTATATTTCCCACCTCACAGGCTTCTTCCAGCACATCCCACCAAGTTGGGGGAAGACCTAGTGGTGAGTGTGGTGTCTCTGAGTGTGGTAAATGGATGGAAAAGGGCGTTCTGGAATTAGAAAGGTGAAAAGCAAACAAAAAGTCCTATCAGCTACACTGCAGTTAACAGAAAGTACACACAACCCTGGGCGCAGTTCAGACTTCCCTGTCTAGACAGTGCCCCTTGGCTTTGTTGCTCACCCACACGTTTTGCAGATGAACAAGTCTGAGACAAGGCTGCTCCTCCTGTGGGGGCAAAATAATTGCTGTGGAGTTTTACTTTGATTTGTCTGAGCTAGTTTGGCACTTCACAGGCAGGCCTTGGGCAAGGACAAGGAGGCTCTAGTGGCGTCTTCACCGCATCCTGGTGGGACTTCAGAGCTTCAGCTGGTCTTCTGTGCTGTCCGTGCTGCTGGACAGTGCCCACATGTGGTGTTGGGAAGGCTCCAGGGGAGCAGGGGCACTGGTTGCAGAGAGCTGGGCACAGGAAGTTCAGTGGGGCTTTCCTTCTGCAGGCGTTATTTACAGTTGGTATTAACGGATATGTCCTATTTGCAGCTGGAAGTGGGCAGCTCACTGAGTGCTTTTCTCCACCCTGGTGAGATGGTGCTGCACTGCAAGCAGGCACAATAAGGCGTGTGAATCATACCATCCCAAAGGCCTGGCATCCGCCTGAGTCATGGTTCTGCTACCCTGTTATACAATTCCTTCCTGTTTTGCAGCATCGAAGGGTTTGTTGACCTTGTGACCTGCCCACAGCATGTTGAAGACTGACCGAGGTACAAATGGAAGCATAGGCTGGGTACAGTATGCTTTATTTCCTACAAAATCTGAAAATCAACGTCTATTTCAAAAGGGAATGAAATAAACTTTTGAAATGCCCTGCAGATTATCAGAGTTTTATAAATTTGGGGTCAGATCTTGAAATGCTTTTCCCATTCCATTCCGTTAAGCTTAAGTCTAACATATTTGACATTTCCATCAAAATTACTTAGAAAGAAAAATGAAAATGGCTAGTATTTAAAGTTTGCATGAGACACAAACATTAGATAATTGCTAAACAGTGTAGAGGCTGTATTATGGATTTAACACTCTGAATTTTATAGAAAATTATATACAACAATGTATGATAGCTCAGAGCAAAAATGCAGGCAACATTGTCTAAACGGGGACCAATCACCCTGATAAGATCCTTGCGGGTAGTATGAAAGCTTCCCCCACAACAGCGGGGCCAAAAAATAGTGTAAGAAGTCTACTGGGAAGTATTAAATGCAAATGCAGAGGTATTGTTTGTTTGGTTTTTGTTTTTTCTTTTTTTCTCCTGCATTTGCCACTGATATTGCTGTTTCTGCAGTACTATTAAAAATGCTGATAAAATACAGAGAATTCGTTGAGGAGCAACAGGGATGAGTAACAACTTGAAAAATATGTCCTGTTCTAGGAGACACAAAATAGTTGGTTTACCAGAAAGGAAGTTGGAAGATGATTTGATCACAGCTTGTCAGCGCTCACAAAGCAAACCTTTGACTTTCATCTCTTAAATCTGGCACATGAAAGTATCAGAAGAACCAGTGATTCTGGTTCTTCTGCATCTGAGCAAGACAGATCAAGCAACACAAAAGCAGATCAGAGAAGAAATGCAGATTTTCAGCCTCCAGGCTAATTACACTTTGGAACAATGTATTTAAAAATGTGGTAGATTTTCCAGATGAAAGTTTTAATTTGGAATTTAGTTGCCTAAAAGAAAAAAAAAAAAAAAAGTCTGCTCCAGACAAATAAGAAATAGTGTAGAGAAATTTCGTGATGTTTTGTTCAAGAGGTTAGTATGAATGACTGAAGTGATTCCCTTTTGCCTTGCACTATAGAAATGCCTGGTCTGTGATCTTAATTTAGTGTGCTTTCCAACATGAAGAAGTGGTAGATGGCATCTATGCTGCTCCTGTGTTTTCAGCGATATATTGCATTCCATTAGGAAGTGATGAAGTTAGTTTGAACCTTCTAGAAGCAAACAGAAAGTAGGTAGCTGCTGCCTAGGTAGGAACCAAACATAAAAGTCTCAGAGGAGTGGAATATAGGGTATTTTTGGAGGGAGCTAGGCAGAATTTACTGCTGCTCAAAAAGTTGATGGGTTGTCTGGAATCAACCATGGCTATGAGTCTCTGCCTACAGAGATGCAATGGTCAGGGGAAGCGATGTGTGTAGAGATCTTTTTGACCTAGTTGCTTAGAGTTTCCTCAATTAATAAAGTGAAATGTTTTAGTTTCAGTTCTGCTAAAACTAAGCTTTTCTCACTTTAATGTATTTTTTGTCCTTTTTGAAGATCTCATTTTGGACAACTTCTAGGCATATTGCCTTCAAGGCTAGCCAAATTTAGGATATCCTGACTATTTATCTTTGCTTGTCTAAACTCTCCTCCAACTTCAAGAAGTACTAAAAGCTTTTCTACTACTTCTCCATGGTGTGGTTCCCGTGTGGCATAATGGAAACTCTGGAGCAGGTCCAGCAATGAGTATTATTCAGCTTATGTTTTCTGACAGTTATTAGTGAGGTTTACTTGTTGGCAGTGCCTACAAGAATATTTGGTCGGGAGCTTTCACAGACTCCCCAGGTGATGTGAGCTATCCAGATCGTGCCATTAGTGTTTGACTTCCCTCTCCCTTACTGCAGGTTACCTAAGCTTGTCAAGCCTGTTCTTGTCCTGTTCTCTTTTGTCCTCTTTGAAGCAGACAACTTCAGTTCTTTAAGTTTTTCCTTATAGGCTGTGTTTTCTAACCTCCTGATCATTCTTATTTTTCTCCTCTGAATCTCCCCTGATAAAGTACACATTTGTACATAGATTTCACTTATTCTTGAGAGAGAGCACCTGTAAGTGGGCAGAGAAATTGGCGAAAGATGTGTCAGTGGATCAGACAGAACTTCTCCCTGGTTCTCTCAAATTAGACACCTGATCAGACATCCCAGAGTGAGCTTTTCACCTTTCTTTCTGCAAGGTAAGACTTTGTCTTGTTTAATTTAGAAACCACCTTCCTTCAGATGCTCTTCTGCAGGACTAAAGCCTCCTATCATTTCTCATGCCATATTTGATTGCCATTGTTTATCTCGAATTTTGCTCTTGTCACTACCAAAAAATTAACAGTATTTTCAAACCTTTTCTTTAATTTTTCAAAATTATGACAAACTCTAAATATGCTCTCCATTATGTCGAACCTTGTAGGTCATAACACATTTATGATACACAAAAGAAATTCACTCTTTCATCATTAACTGTTAATGAGAAGACTGAATACCTGTGGGACAGACCCCAGAACAATTTACCCAATACATACGTCTTGCTTGACACTGATGTCCTCACTGCTTGGAGTGTGTTTTTCCAAAATGTTTAGCAGCCACCTTACTAGAATCTAAACCATGTTCACCTAAGAGAATGTCATGCAAAACTGTGTTTCAGGTGCCTTTTTTAAATGAGGACCTCAAAAAAACCTGAAATGCATATTAGATTAAATATACCTAATGTGTTTTAACTTTATTTCCAGGACCTATTGCCCTATTATGTTCATGTACAAATCTATATCTTTGATTAAGCTTATGCTTTCAGAATGATGCAGACTCTGAACTACAAAAAGGGACATAGCAAAACGGAAAATAGCAGCTGGCTCTAGCTGGTTCTGCAACCATTGTTTTTGTTATCTACATGAGAAGTGATTTTGGTTTCTTAGGAAAGCATTCACATAGGGAATATTAGTTTGTGTGGGAGGTTAGTACAAGCATGGTAAACAAATCACATGAATTGATTTTTACAGAAATAATACTGTACACATATAAGATGTTATTTTCAAGACACTTTATAGATCTTATATTGCACTTGCAAAGAATATTCTAGTATCTATATGGATAAAGGTATGTCATATGCATCAGAGTGGAGTAGAAGGATTTAAAGGCAAAAATGGCATAAGGGAAAGCCTATTAAATATTTATGATATGGTTTAAAATTCCCTAAATTTTTCATTGATATCTTAGATGAAGAACAATAAACAGCTGTATAATTTGCAGATGTATCAGCTGCATTTGCAGCTGACAGAAGGAGGGACAAGAGTGGAGTAATTCCCTGTGGGAGTGATGAAAGTATAAACTGATGGATGTACTCATCACCCCAGAGAAATAGTTGTCATCTGCTCTCTACATAGTAATAATAATGAGGCTGTGAAGTGGGTGGATAAGGAAGACAGCTATAATCTTCCTGAAGTGTAAGACGTCCTTTCTCTTGTCCTCACTGTACCTTGCAACCCTTGCATTGTATACACACAGTCTTCCTGCCAGCAGCCCAGATGTTCCCAACAAATACGTATCATCCTACTGCAAAAAACACCAGTCCTCCTTTCTGGGGATCCCTCCTGCTCTCTCCCTGCCAGGACATTTTGTCTATATGACACCTAGTCTGTGTGCTGTAACACCTACCTCTGTCTTCAGTCACAGAGCTGCAGTCACAAAGAGGTTGGCACCTCAGATATCAGGGACTGCAGCAAATGGAGATTAACGTTAAATTACTCGAGGCAGTGCTCTTGCAGATGCAGAGAGTGCACTTCAGGCTGCAAAACTTGAGGTCCTTTCTAAGCCCCTTGGTGCCTTGCTCTACACTTCTGGGACAAGGCTGGTGTTCATTTTTGTACAGAACATCAGCTACATGTATATCTAGGGAGCATACCATTTTATTTAAATAATTTGAGAATGCAGGTCTTTTGCTGGCCTCTGTGTCTTTTTATATTTTGTTTTTGTTTTTTTAATGTGAATCTGAAGTTTACTGTTTTGCAAACCAGTCATACTCATCTGCTCTATTTTGCTTGAGCTTCCGCTGACTCATTTCCATCAAAGTCCAAAGCATGGCCAGAGAAATTACCTAAGATCTGTGAAAGAAATTCTTTGGCGATACTAAGCCTTTACTTTAAGATTAAAAATGCGGCCTGACAGCCTTCATTATTTCTCCTGCAACACTATCTAGGTGTCAATCAGCAGATGAGTGTGGGTCCCTGGAGAAACATTGGGGAAAAGATCAAATGGTTTTACTGACAACAATGTGACACCCTGAAGTACATTAGGTCTTGCCGAATGTTTTCTCTTTATGGTTTCCCCAAAGAATTCCCATAGAGTGAAGGGTATTGTGTTCAGTGATTCTGTGGTGAAAAGAAGCTGCCGTAGCTATAGTATTTATCTTTGCAGTTCCAAGAACAGAGAGCTTCACATTGCTTTTAATGTACATTTGATGCTAGACCAAGATTTTCACATTTCGGAGCTTATTGTGATAAAGGCCATATAAAAATATAATCAACTACAGGGCAAAGAGCACTGAAAATTTCAGCATGATCCCCCTTTCTGCTAGCCCACATCCAGCTCGAACACAAGAGGTATTGCCATCCTTGCATCAAAAAGTCAATATTGCACCTTTGTGCAGTTTCACAAGTATTTTGCTTTCAGCTGTGATTGTTGAAAGGGAAGTGTATGGCAAACAGGATGCAATCTGACAGTTCATAAGATGGGCAAGACTGTCTCACCGGAAGGGTTACAGTGAGGTGAATTTCTCGTTGTTGCTAAAACTTTGTCCAAATGTATTTATGTATGCTTAGTTTCGGACTTTGTCAGGAAGCTTTAATGCAGAAACAGCATGCCCTTCCGTCCTTCGTGTGTTTAAAAGCTCTTTTGGTGTGAGTCATCGGAATCCTGTGGTTTGTGTATCCTGAGCGGAGAAGGGCTCTCTGTGATTATCAGACATCATGCAAAAGTTGCAGTTTGAAAATAAAATGATAAGGAAGTTCATTATTTCATAGGAAGTGTCCGCTGATGGCTTTTTTTTTCTTTTTTTTTTTCTTTTTTTTTTTTAATTTCTCCTGTAGGTTTGGTGTTTTGTTTGAAGGCCTTATGCGGGTACAAGGACTCTGTGGCTTTGCATCACAGATACATATCATTTTTCAGAAGTGCTGCTGCATTGCAAATAGGAGAATCTCCTTATGAGCCGAATAAAATAAGATTCAGCAAACAAGGCTCTCTGGATCAAGAAAGCCATCCTCAATGGTTGCCCAAATGTTGAGCTGCTGTAGTGTCATATGCCACTGTCTGATGCTGGTCAGTAGCAATCAAGGTACATCTTGCCTCACAGAAGAGGGAAAATATCCATTGTCACTGCCTTTCTCTTGGTGCCTTAAGAACATGAGCTAGGTAAATTAAGTCCCAAAGTGATGTCAGTTTCTTGTAATGTTTTCTCAAGATGGCTCTTAGCATGTACCATTGATCTCTGTGTCTTTATACCCTGCTGAAATCAGAGGTATAATATATATAATATATATATAATATATAATACATATTAATGGTCCTGTCATTGTGACAGATTGTTGTGACAGAACAGGTTAACAAAATGAATGGACGGGATGTAGAATTTAAACTAATCTGCTTAATTGGCTTTTATGTCCAGAGTAGAGCTATCACTATATGGGATCTCTAAGACTTTACCAAGCTATTTCATGAAAAAACATGAGGAGAACACTCTCACTGACATATTTAGGGTGTATATGCCTGAGAGGTCTCTCACTGAGCAAGCAAACATGCCATTTGAGAAAACTGTCTTCTTCCTGGCAATGAAAAGAAGAAAGGGGAAGAGGACAGGGAAAGGGAAGGGGAAAGAGAAGAGGAAGAAAAGGGAAAGGGGGAAGAGGACATTGAGGGGAAAGGGGAGGATAGAAAAGGGAGAGGAGAGGAGAAGATGTAAAATAACTTGGTGTAACTAATTACTGCTGACTAATTCAGCAAGCTTGTGATGTTGAACAACACCTTGGAGAATTGTGGCATGTGAATTTATTTAGAATGAATAAATTCATGTAACCTTCTCAATGATCTTTCATCCCACAAAAACAGATCTTCTCAAGACTTGGAGAAAAATCCCAATTCTAGGAAGTGCTTGGAACACTAAGACTTGTGTAATATTTGAAGTATGAGTTACAGTGTGCATAGGCTGAATTTGGAATGATACCCTTATGACACTTTTTCTGTGTTTTTTATAAACAATAGCCAGGTTGGAGGTTCACAATGTAAGTACCCTGCCATACCACACAGACCACACTAGCAATATTGATGACTTTGTGAAGGAGATGAACAACTGGAGCCATACTGCAGTAGTATAGACTACACAGCTGCTTTGTGCACCACTGTCTTGCAAACATACCTATGCAAATATTTGGAACAAGGTAACCAAGTATGTGACACTTAGGTGTGCTATTTTTTTTAAGTTGGAGTCTTTTGATATATGAATAAGAAAACAATAGCCCAGCCCGTGTGGTAAAGTGTGTTGCAATTTGAATTAATTACAGGTTTTCTTTCTGCAGTCTGCCTTAAAAGATGTTTACTCTCACCATGACCTTTACCTTGATAGTTGCTTTATCAATAATACAAAAATACACATCACTTCTAGAAAGCATGATTAAAGATTCTACTGGTCTTAGAAAGAAAAGAGAGTTGGCAAAAAAGACTGCCATGGATTTTTATGGCCATAGGACATAAATGAGGTCAGTCTCAAGTAAACTACAATATAATTTATGTGAACTTCTGGGTGACATCCAAAGTCTTTGATTAAGTAGAACTACAATGAAGAAACAAGTTGCAACCAACAAAGTACCAGTAATAACAAAGTTGAGTACAGTTGGTGAAATTCTTCTCAGCTGAGGTAAATATGGCAGACTACTCATTGACTTTCATATGGTCAGTGTTTTGCTTTAATTCTGAACCCAGCAATTTAGGGAGGAGAAACTTAAAAGATGGTTAATTTGGAAAACAGCAAAAATTTGCAGGCAGCATTACCCAGAAGTATGAAGCTGAACTCTGTTTAACCTAAGATCTTGTGTATTTGGGATGCCATTATAGAGGACTCTACAGATTTCTACAGGATACTGAATCATTCTTAAATCTGGTGGGGACTCTCCATAAATTTCCCAAGACATGCACAGAAAACCAGTCATGTGCTATGTTGGAGTCCTCTTCAGTAACCATAGGAATTGTAACTAAACACAGCTTTCAACACAGAGCCTGATGTACTTGAAGTGTACAAGAGTATTTGGAGTTGCTTATTAGGTCATCATTTTTCTAAAAACATAAAGCTCACTTTTGCAATCTTATAACTACTTAGAAACACTGTGCTATTGCTAATCATCTGTGTCACATGCATTGGCCAGGAATTTGACACAAAGTGCTTTGCAATCTGCTTTACGTTTTGGAGCAATCTGAAGTTACAAGTAAAATGAAAGCCCTAGAAAATTAAGGCCTTTGATATGGGTGTAAAGGACTGTGGTTGATCTTGTGTTATTTTATTACCATATAATTTGTTCTGAATCACAAAATACAGAGTTCCTTCCTGTTTTGCACAAAGTATTTTCTTACATTTTCTATCCAGTATTGAGTGAAGTCAGGAAAAAAATATAAAAGATGTTTTCTTCACTACATGAAACTTATTTCATTGAAAGAAATTAAATAACAGAATACCTCAGAAGAAGTACAAAACATATTCTGATTTGAGTGAGCAGATATACATGTATGTACTTGAGGTTCAGTAAATATGGAATTAAGCCATAATGAATTACCAGAACTGGCCTCCTTGTTGACATCCTCAAAGATCAGTGAGGATGAATATAAAGATCAGTTTTGTCCCTCCAAAACAGCTGAAATATTTTAACAGATTCCCTTCTTTGTTTCCACTTCTACTTGACTGATATTTTTATGAGCACTTATTTCACTCAGAAATAATATCTGTGGAGGATATACTTCTGGGAGTATTCTACTACTGGGAAAACCTTACATGAAAAATTACAGATGCCAGGTGTCTTGCTGTGTCCTGGTTTTGGCTAAGATAGAGTGAATGTTCCTCCTAGTAGCTGGTATGGTGCTATATTTGTGGTTTAGGATAAGAATGACATTGAAAACATGCTGAAGTTTTAGTTGTTGTAGAGCAGTGCTTGCAGAGAGACAAGGACCTTTCAGCTGCCCTGCCAGCGATGAGGCTGGGGCTGCATGTGGAACTGGGAGGGGACACATCCAGGACCGCTGGCCCAGACTGGCCAAAGGGATGTCCGATACCATGTGGTGTCATGCTGAGCAATTAATTTGGGTTGGCTGGCAGGGGTAGGGAGAAATGCTGCTCTGGGGCAGGCTGGGTGGTGAGCAATTGCATTGCACATCACTTGCTGTGTACATATTATTACTGTTGTTGTACATATTATTATTATCCACCTGCCTGTAGTGGACTGCAGGATTGCACAGGCCTCCTGCTGGTTATTAAGATGTTGCAAACCATCATGTAAGGTTTCATTTTTAGCAGCTGATGAGTGGCATCAGTTGCCAGCTGATGTAGGGATGTTTAGAAGAAATGTACATTTTTTGTAGGTTTAATATGTTCATTTTTATGTTTGGCATTTTGTGATCCTTTAACACACTATGTCCATGTTGTTGTTTTTTGAGTATTTCCTTCACAATGAGGCCATACGCATCCTCAGGACATACCCATCCACCCTTATTTCCTAAACTAAGTAAGTGTTGCAGCTAAGTTACTACTTGATAACTACTTTTGTGTTACAGAATCACAGAGTGTCTCAAATTCAAGGAAGAAAGCAATGGTAAAGCTCCTCTTCATTCAGAGAAGCTTGCTCCAGCCTTCACAACTACTTGCTCTGGATGTAGAAGATGAATTGAATTTCTGTATTTCCTACTGTCATCTTGTACCTGGACAGTGGCTGATCTTTCTGTCATTTACCAAAGCAAAATTACAATGGAAGATCTTTTTAGTCTTATACCAATTCAGCTTCATCCACAGAGTGAACTTTCATCTGTTTTTGGTCATGGTCCTGTGAGAATCCCTGAAGACCATTGGGATTTCTGTTAATATAGAACATCCTACTGCAGATAGGGCCATGAATATTCATGGTTTTCAAGGTTTCATATTCTTCAAGGTGTTTTTGCTTTTGCTTTTTTTTGTTTGTTTTTTTTTTCTCCATCTTTGGGACTTCAGTTTGACTTGGATTTCAATCATCTGTCCTTCTCATGATCATCCATTCTTCTTCCTCACTGCCAGGTATACCAAGGTCACAAATCCATGAATTTCTTTTCCCAATTTTTCCCACACTTTCTCCTGGGTGTCTGACCAATACTTGCAGCAGGAGATATCGGTCCCTTTTTCCACTTGTATTGTTTCTCCAGGGTCTTCTTCAGCCTCTTCGAAGTACCAGTTTACCTAGTCAACAGCCATGGTGGAGATAGGTGGACCTTTTTATTTGTGCATTGGTCAGAGCAAAAGCAGAGCTAGCATTTAAGTGCTGCCAGAGACATGAGAGAGATGACCTAGAGATATGGTCTAGAGAAATGACCAGAGAGAGCACTGTGTCCACTCTGTAAGGGCGTGGAAAGACAGCAAGGAAATTCAGCAAAGTGGAACTGACCATAAGAAAAGAAACATAGTCAACAAGACTACTCTGAAGGAAAGCAAACAGTTAAACTCCCACTTACCCTGGGTGTCTGAGTAAAAATTGTTTTATTTTATGATTAAGAATGGTCTTTTCAGGTGTTTGAGAGAGGAATGTGAAATTCAGCAGTAGAAAGATGAATCAGAGTCTGTTGTGGTTAGTTTGTAAATTCCCACTGCATAGCGTAAGATAACAACACCCCAAGACCTGAATTCTTCCACGTTCAGGAGACCCAACAACAACAATAAGGCAAGCTTATTTCTGCACGTACGGATGTACATGGCTTGACATTATGGTTCGATATCCTTGTAAAGAGGAAGGCAAAAATTTATGTAAGGGAGCACATGGGTCTCAGGGAGACAAAGAGCCTGGTGAATATGAAAGTGAATTGTTGTGGGCTGCTTGGTAAACAATGATAGATTTCTGTTCAGGATAATCCTTATGAATAGCAAACATGGAAGATTTTAATGGAAAGGACTGGAAGTTTGTAAAGATGACACCAATTAGGTTGGCTTAAAAATGCATCACTTGACTTAAAATGCAGCACATATCCTTTAAGTGTATGAACTTCTAGCATTTACAATAACATCGTATTTCTATTAATGCTGTGTTAATTGTTGAAACACATGACTGAATAAAATCTAGCAGATTTAAATCTTATTACTAAATAAGGTGTTAGTGATCACTACCCTTGGAAGTCAGGAAAACAAAGATGACTTTCATGGAGATAAGTTTGGATGCAGAAAGAAACATGCAAGTGAAAGGAACATAAAAGAGATGATTGATTAAGGAAATTGCAAGTAGAGTTGTGCAACAAATAAACTGATGAAATACTGGAAAAACACCTGCAGTGTGTTAGATTAATAACTATTGATTTTTTTTTCTCTTATATCAATTTAGAAGTGCATAAATTTATGTTTTTAGTTTTTGTTGTGTCCTGAAGCACTAAGTTTTCCCGTAAAACAAGACAGCCAGAGCTAAATGTTCAATAAACATTAAATGCTAAATGTTTTTGAATCCCTTTGTTTCTTTGTCCTCAGATTTTACCATTTTGCCTTTACAACCTTTACAAACTTTTTACAAACTTTTTTTTTTTTTTTTTTTTTTTTTTTTTTTTTTGTGTGTGTGTGTGTCCCCTCCATCCCCTCCACTCTAGGAAAAGGAAGGAAGCTAAAGTGAGAACTAGGAGTCACTACTTAAATACTGTGTTATGTGCTGTAGCACCAATTCTACACATTTCTTGTATATTTTTACCTGAAAGTTATTAGGAACCACGGGCTGTGTCTCTGAGCAGTCTAAGACCTACACTAACATGAAGAGGCGTGTTCTGCATGTACTTCACATCTCTGTTAGTTCCAGAAATGGAGCATGTCTCCATACACTTTCCTGGGG